ATATATATATATATATTAAAAGAACGACCGAAGACTATTATGCTAGCCCCGACCATCTCTCATGCGCCTAATAATTCGAGTACTACACTCTGCACTCGGGAGGAATCGAACCCCAGACCCAGAGGGGAACTACAACTGACAAGCAGATGCCCGACCAACTGATCTGAGTACGCGACGTTGTGTGTGTCTATATAATAATAATATAAGCCCTTATTTTGTTCAATAGAATTTGGGTAACACAACCAAACATTTAACTTCAGCCCTAAAGTTATTAACAGGGACAAATGCTCTGCATGCTTTAAGCAATACAATAAGAAGGAGCACCTCATTGAGCATATGAAGAACTCTTACCATTCTGTTCATCAGCCCAAATGCGCGATTTGCAAAAAATATTGCAAGACATTGGAGTCAGTGAGGGAGCATCTTACAGGTAGCCTTTTTGAATAATTATGCCAATGATTGCAGTGATGAATTCTTGCTCTAATCCTATTTATTTTTAGGAAGATTTACATCCCGACCATTTAATTCTTATGTATGTACATGTCTAACACCTAAACTTCTATTTTTACATATATGTCACCTTTCCTATGCATGAAACGGTGTATTCAACTTGAAAAGTTAAAATAGTGGTATTTTTGATGTGACATGAAAAATTTGGTTTGCATAAATGTAAAAAGTAAAGTTTAGGTGTTAGATATATCAATAGATAAGAATTTGATGGTATGTATGTAAATGCCCCTTTTATTTTATTTTTTTATTTTTAATTTTCAAGTTTTTATTTTTTTTCATGTACAACAATTGTAAGGTCCACTTGCAAAGAATAGCTGCGCTCTTGTCTTTGTAAGTTTGGGTTGCGAGCTTTGTCTCAAAGTGTTTGATACTACAGAAGATTTGATTGCTCATAGATGCACATGTTACTTGACTCCTGCTACTTGTCCTGTAAGTGAACCATGAAAGCAATTTAGAATTGTGAAAAGTATTAAAATGGTTCCCTGATTCTTTATATGGGATTATTTTAATCCCATAATCTATAAAATTGTCAAATTAATTCTTAGACTTATACGTTGAAATAGTTGTCATACTCTTGTAAAAAAGATTATTATTATGTTCTCATTGAAAGAGTTTGGAGACTAATTTAGCACTTTTAAGAATCTGGGACTAAAATAATCACCCTTGCAAATTCTCAAAGATCATTTTGGCACTTTTCTCGTTTAGAAGCATATTGTTTTATTGAGCTTTGCTAATGGTGCTGCACTTGTGTTTATTCTATACTTTTTCTAATGAATTAGTCACGCTTAAATTATTTTTAATGTTATAGGGACTTGAGAAAATGTATGTAGATCATGATGTACAAAATGACATGGACTTTGATGATAGATTTCCTAAAGTGGTTGCTTTGAACTGTGTAATGGTTGGTGGTGGAAGTGATGGATCACTACATGTTTGTGCGCGTGTTTGTCTCATTGATGTAAATGAGAATGTGATATTTCATTCATATGTGAAACCAATAATTCCTGTTACGGATTATCGGTAATATTTCTTTTCACCAATAAGATTTTGATTGTTAAAATAGTCTCCTGATTATTTTCATGGAATTATTTTAGTCCCCGAGTCTATAAAAGTTTCATATTGGTTCTTATGCCTTCTTAAGGCGGGGTTAGGCTGCAACTTGGTTTTACATTAAATAGGATTTATCAAATTCAGTAAATCCGGATTTATCAAACCATGTGTGACGGAGATGAAGCTTGGGAGCGACGGCGGAGTAAATTCCTTAAACCTGCCCCACAATCGGATTTAGTAAATCTGGATTTACGTCGTAAAGTAGACAAAATGCGAGAAATTTTAATTTAACGGATCGTTGGATTTACTTTTCATTCTTTTAGTGTTTGGTTAGATTTGTCTAAATCCTATTAAAACTTTGCTCCCAAACACCCCTAATATCTATCTATTTTAGCCCCCCTTAAAAAGTTTGGGGACTAAATTGAAACTTTTATCGGCCGACTAAAATCATGCAAAGAGTCGGGAATCATTTTGACACTTTTGTTGCTTTATTATTTTAGGCGTTTTATATTTTAGGCGTTTTATTTATTTATTTATTTATTTTGCTAGATATGAAAAAACGGGTATAAGTGAAGATAATTTAGTCAATGCGATGCCTATTGGAGAAGTTCAAGAGAAAGTTTTGGAGATATTGTACAATGGAGAAGAATCAATTGCCAGAATTCGTTGGGATGGAGGAAAAGCTTGCCTTCTTGTTGGCCATGGCTTAGAAAATGATTTGGATTGCTTGAGAATAAATTATCCTGAACATTTAATAAGGTAACGACTTCTGGTTGAAGCAGGCCAATACAAAATGTAGATATCTATAAAGGGGCATTTACATATATTCCACCCAATTCTTATGTAACTGAACTTTACTTTTTATATTTATGTCACCCAAATCTTTCATATCACATTATAATACCACCATTTTAACTTAAAAGTAAACTACACCTTTTCCTGCATACCTAAGGTTATATATCTAAAAAAATGAAGTTTAGTTGCTAGATATGTAAAAACACGAGTGATGTGCATGTAAATCTTCCTCTCTAGATATGGTGGGATTGTGTGATATTTATTATGTTTTCGCTGCCTGTTCTTTCTATTTAACCTTTTAACCATACTTTTAATCTTTTGGTTTCTTTACAGGGATTCAGCTAAATATGTGCCTCTATTAAAAACCAATTTGGTCAGTAATTCGCTGAAGTATCTAACAAGAACTTATCTTGGGTATGTCTATTTTCATGTTTTTTATAGTTAACTAAGAACAAGTTATCATTATTTTGGTTAGAAGAAATCAATTACATTCTAAATTTTGACATTAGTTCAACTCTTTGGAAAAAGCAGAGAGAGAAAGGGGAGAGAGAGAGAGAGAAAAATGCAAGTCCCAAAAGAATCTTGAAAGAATCAAAGCTCACTTAGAAAACATCAATCATTTCATGATTTGGTTAGGAGAGTGGATGTTTTAGATTCGATTTATATTGAGAAAGGTAGAGGTAGACCTAAAAGGACCCGGGCATGTTATATAAAAAATGATCTTAATTTATTAGAATTAATTAATAATTAATTGAAAATATGACACTCAATAGGACACAATGAAGAAAAAAGATTCATGTGGCCGACCTCACTAAGTGGGATAAAGACTACTTGTTGTTATTGTTGTTGTATCCTCCAATTAGAATTTTTCAAGTTCAAGCAAGATTTTGTTTTGGAAGTGTTTTGTTTAATTTCTATTATAACATTTTATTTGGACAAAATGTCAAAATGGTCCATTGAATATTTACAAAGGTCATTTTAGTCACCCAGTCTATACAACAACAAAGCCTTAATTCCACTACGTGGGGTCGTCTACATGAATCCTTTTTCTCCATTGCGTCCTATTTAGTGTCATATTTTCATTTAGTTATAATAAATTAAGATCATTTTTTATACAATAAACCTAAGTCTTCCTTGGTCTACCTCTGCCTTTCTTAACATAAATCGAATCTAAAACATCTACTCTCTTACTCGGATCATCAGATGGTTACGCTTAATGTGACCAAACCCTTTAAGACGACTCTCTCTAATTTTGTCCGTCACTGGAGCTACACCAACCCTATCCCGGATAAATTCAAAATATTAATTTAATACCTTGTCCGTCACCCAGTCTATACTAAATATTAAATTAATCTCAAAACTTTTTTAATAGAAGCTATAATCATTCATTTTTTAAAAGAACTCTTATTTCACCTTATGTTGAGAAAATCTAAGGATTAATTTAACACTTGTACAAATTTTAGGAGTAAAATGACTTCCTTCAAAGGGGCAAAGGGTTATTTTAACAATGGAACGGTTTCATAACCTATTCATTTTTTCTTATCAGGTATGAGATACAATCCGGAGTTCATGATCCCTACGAAAATTGTGTTGCTGCACTGAGGTTATATAAGAGACTATCCTCCTATGACCATCCAAGTGATGAAGTTTTGATGCAGGAAAACAATGGAGAACTCTATGAATTTGAGAAAAGAAATAATTTTGATTCTGTGAGAGTTGATGAACTCCTAAAGAAAACTCCAGATGAACTCCTCCTGATCTCTACTTCAAATTTTAGGTGTTGGTGTTTGGATACTGGACTACTATAAACTGCTGATTCATTTATGTAAGTTGTTTGATGTGTAAATATATAAAAACTATGTGGTTTGTATTCAAGTCCCCCTTTTTTATAAGGAAAATTTGCATACATATACATATACATGTATGTCTATATATATATATATATATATATATATATATATAATATATATATATATATATATATAACACAATTCTTATGTATTTACATATCTCACAGCTAAACTTTCTTACTTATATAGCATTTGGTGCTTTAAATTTATGCATGAGAAGGTATATTTCAATTTTAAAAGTGATAAGTGTATCAATTTTGATGTGATATTGAAGAATTGAGTGATGTGTAAACTTGAAAGTTTAAGTTTGAGATATGTAATTAGATAAGATTTGTGTGCTATGTATGTACATGCCTCCCTTTATAATTACGAGTATATCAACTAATTATTGTGATTATGATATGAATGGACCAGGAAGGATTGATTCATCTTTTATATCAGTTAATTTTATTTGCTTCCATTATTATTATTATATTCAGAGATTTCTCCTCATTTGTCAGGATTTTTTGATATGGAATTCTAAGTTTCCCTTAGATGCAAGCCCATATGGTTACTTACCATTTTTTATGCTGGAATTCGAGGTTTCCCATAGATGCAGGCCTATATGGTTACTTATCTCTTATGATGATAGAAAAATACTTTTGATTAAAATTATTCATTAAACATTGCATATTCAATATATAATAACAAAATATAGACTTTAGATTATAAAATTTATTACTTTTAGATTAAAGTGAATGATGGGAGAAATGGTGATGAATTTGATCAAGTTCACTTGTTTTGTCATTCTTGATCGTCGATGTCCTTAATTTACTTAATCAGAGGAGATAAACAACTCACCTAACTAAATGATCCTGGTAAACAACCATGGGCCGTCCAAGAGATCTTTATAGATGTGATGTGAATTTTTATCTAAGAAGAAATTTAAGTCGGCCTCAACGGAAAGAAGACTTTATAACAACTAATTGTATCATTAGGATTTACAACTCAAAATCTAGAAAGTTGATGGGGAACATATGAGTTGCACCCATGATCATAATATAGTAATGTTATTTGGCGACAATTATCATGTCAGAGAGTTCTGGTCGTAATTAACATATTCCAAGAATATGCTTATTTATAGTCTTGATTTTGTCTTTTAGTATCTTTATATCATTTTCTTGCAAGGTATATTATGTTGAATTGCAGGTAAGAGGTGTAAGGAGCAAAGCAAGATTCAAAAATAAAAGAAAAAATAAAATGGTGTTCTCGAGCTTAGGCACTAGGACTTTGTGCTTAGGCTCTAGAACTAGTCTCTTTGGAGTCAAAAGACATAGCAATCAAAAACCCGACAATGCACTTGGAGCGTGGGGCGCTACCTTGCAGTGCCTAGGCGCCTCAATCGGGGAAGATTTTTTTAGTGATTTGAAACTCGAAGTTGGACATAAAGCGTTAGGCACCAGAAGAGCAATGCCTAGGCGCTAGTGTTGCGGCGCCTAGGCGTTGTAGAAGAATTGATGGTAGCACCTCGGTGCCACATATGGGCTCCCTGGCGCCATAACACTTTGGGTTTGATTGGAGAAGATATAAATTAGATGAAATATGAAAATGGAGGGCTTTTAAATTAGTTTTCTTCTGTCAAAAAAAATTCTTGGAGGAGGAACAAGAAAGGAGAAGGCCAGAAGTACATCAACAACAGAAGTAGTGAGGTGTGAGAGAATTTGAGAGACAATTGCTTGTATTTACATGTGTTCTCAATTGTAGAGAAGAGAGATAAGTTCTTTTTCGAAGTTTACTTTGTGGATTGTAATATTTTACTTTCAAGACATTTGTACTTGATTTGTCTTTCAATCAAATGTGTTTGTTTGTGTGTTAAAGCATGAGTAGAAAGTAATCCTATTTTTTTTCTCTTGGAATAGTGAAGTAAGATTGATGTGGTGAAATTTTATGTTTAGCTTTGAACGAAATTATTTTTGGTGATGATTAACTTTCCAATCTTCCTTTACATTTCACTTTGGTCATATGATTTGTCAAAATTTGTTGTGAATTATGAGTCTCGGAAGGGATAATAATGGAATCATCTAAGTTAATCAAAATAACTTATTGGAATAAGAATATAACAAAATAGTCATAACAACATGTCTTGACCCTTAAGAGAGTATGCTAATCCTAAGGTAGATGAAATTTATCTTAGTATTCACACCCCAACTGCAGAAGCCAATATAGTCTAACTGAAGTCTGATATCATCCAAATGGTGCAGAACAATCAGTTTGGGGGCACACTTTTAGAAGACCCTAATATCCATTTAGCGAGCTTTTTAGAACTCTACTCCACATTTCATTACAACGATATCTCCAACGACGTCATGAGTCTAAGATTTTTCCCTTTATCTATGAGGGTTGAAGAAAAATTGTGATTGAATTTCTTATCTCCCAGATCAATTAGGACATGGAATGACCTAGGTCAGAAATTCTTAGCAAAGTACTTTCCACCTTAGAAAACGACCAAACTTAGCAGAGACATTACCTCTTTTTGCTAGCATGACGGTAAATCTATTTATGAAGCATGAGAAAGGCTTAAGGAACTCCTTCGGAAGTATGCTTACCAAGCATTACCAGACTTATTGATCATACAACCGTTTTATAATAGGCTGGTAGGATCTCTTAGTTCGATCATAAACGAAGCTGCAGGTGTTACCCTTATGTTGAAACCTTTTGAAAAGTTCAACACGTTTTCAAACAAAGTCCGACTCCTTCCAAATTTAACTTAATATTAATTAAGTATAATAGAAATTTCAAGAACAATGATCATTAATTGTAGCAAGTATGAAAATATCATTATACACACATACATAACATATATATGATAATATAGGGTTATAAAGAAAATTTAATTTCCTTCAGAAATTCAGGCTCTTCCAGTGAAGAGAGGTTGGCTGATGGTGGAAGGAAGGGCAGCATGAATAGCTCCAGTGCACAAAAGCTGGGTTCCACTAGCCATGATAGTCAAGGTCTCTAGTGCTCTCTGCCAAATAAAAAATGCAGAGTTACATCCAGACCACTCAATATTTATGCATTTACATATTTTAACATATAGAAATGTTGTATTTTACATTGTAAAATTTGAAAAATGTGGTATCTCTTAAGATTTTGGTGGTATAAATATAAAAAACTAAAATTATGATGTTAGATATATAAATGTATAGTAATTGAGTGGCATGTATGTAAATTAGTCTTTAGTATTTCTATTCAAGTAAAGAATTTTCAGGGGTTTTTACATGACAACCATCCAAAATATTGAATAATACATTTTAACCACCAAAAATTTAAATATAACATTTTAATAGTCCAATAGTTTTACTCAAAGCCTTCACTGGTAGGGGTGTGAACGAAGCGAACACGAACGAACGGAGCTTGTGTTCGTGTTCGGTTCGTTTGAAATGTGGTTTGTTTGAAATAAGCTCGTGTTCGAAATTGTTCTTGAAGTCAATGTTCGTAATCTTTTCTTAACGAAAGAGCCGGAACATGAGCTGTTTGCGAACGACGAGCCAGATTAACATCCATATTATTAATATATATAAATAATATATTATATTAATTATATAACTTATATTATGTAAATATATAATATCTATATTAGTATATTACAAATATATATATATATGTATATATGATGAGTAGTATTTGGAGGCAAAATGAGCCGAACACGAACAAACAAATCTTTGTTCTTGTTCAGCTCCTTTATATATCAAGCACAAAAAAAATGTCCGTGTTCGGTTAGTTAACTCATCGAACGAATCGAACACGTGCTTCTTAACGAGCCAAACAAGAGTTGTTGTTACATCCCTATGTACATGCACGTATTAAGATGAACATGTTAACAAAGTTTACCAGGCCTGCTGTCCTCCAACCAATGCTTATCTCCTTGCAAGCCAACCTATCAAGAGCTTGTGGACAAATGTTTTAGTATGAACTTAATGGAATTTTGGAAGATTTACATACATACCATTCCATTCTTAACTATTTGCATGTTTAAGACTTAAAATATAAATTTTTTACATGCAAACCATTTTACCATGCATGAAAAGATATAAAGCAAAATTTTGGTGTTACAAATGTAAATACATAGGAATTCGGTGGTATGCATGCAAATGCCCAAATTTTCTTAGGAGCATTTACATAAGTGGCACGTATTTCTTATATATTTACATTTCTTACAGTTAAACTTTATAAAAAGCAAAGTTTATGTGTTCAATATTTGTAAATACATAGGAATTGTGTCTTATGTATGTAAATACCCCAATTTTCTTAGAGGCATTTGCATATATACCTTATATATTTACATATCTAACACCTAAGCTTTAATATTCACATGCATAACACACTCAAAGTTCATCTATACCTGAATGTAACAATTTAGTGGTAGATATGTAAATACATAGTGGTGCGTATGTAAATATCTTCCATGAAAATATTTCAAAAATATCCTCTTTTTCTATATTATTTATGAAATGGTACCCCATGGCCAGAAGTGTGAGGCCCCAAGCCATAACAGAAGAAGCAGCAGCAGATAACAGGCCTGATGTGCTCCCCTGAACAACATTCTGAAGGCCTGTGAGCGACGCAGCAACGCCCACCAATCCAGCAATTAGCGAAAACATCACAACAAACCCTGTGGCTAAGTTCCCAATGGGATAATATACTGGAAACAGCCTTGCAGGCAGACTAAGTTCTGAAACTGCAAAATTAAAATGTAAATATATGAAATCTTTGTGCAATTCTGTCAAATATTCAGCATGTATATGTTTGTGGATATATGATTAAGACGTGGGAGTTGGGCAGGCGGCTTGACGAGCTCGCCATAAGCCCGCATAGAATGGCGGGGGTCGGTTATGACAAAATAGAAATTTAGTGGGTCGGCTCCTAGCCCGAGCCTGCTTTGACAAAGCCTGACTCAACCAATATCCAAGTCTCTTAAGTATAGTTCACGATTGCAAGCTTTTAGGTGTATTTACCTGACTGTGGAGTCTCATCAATGCCATAGTTGAGAGCCCAACCTGCAACAACAACTAGGATGGCATACATCAAGAGGTTAATGAAGAGGAAGAAGGTAGCCAGAGCCTTTGGACCTTCTGTTGCCATTATAAATTTTTCAAGGGAGCTATTCATAAAATTCAGATTGGTTTATGACCTTGCATGGCTATATATACATATATATAATCATTTTTTTTATTTATTTAACAATGAATTATACTGGCTTTTTTATATTGTTAATGGCTTTCTTCAGCTTTAAGGAAAACTGGAATACCTTTGTGCCATGGGGACTTTCCTTATTCATTGCCTTGCTAGAAAGAAAGGGATTGATTGCTTGTGAGTAAAAAGGAAAATTGGGTTACTCCAGAGTTGTTCTGTGACTCATTTTTATATATTGGAAGTTACGGTTACGAGAAAGAGGGAGAGAGAGCTCTCCCTACAGAAGATGAGTCTAGAAAGAAGAGCTGAAAAACCATTAAAACATGGTATGTTCCCCTTCTTTATAGAAGATGGAGAGAGACCATGTGTAAAATTACATGTTTTACCTGTATTTTAGAGGGGTTATACATGATATTACTATCTTTTTGCCCGTTTTGAGTGTGGCAGTCGGTCGGTTTGCTAGATTATTGTTCTTTGGCGATCTTATATGATATTTGGGGGAGTTGTTGAGGGTACTTTACAACGATAGTTGTTAGATTATTGAGGGTATTAGTTCGGTCGCTGGCATTGATACCTATCCTTTATTGGCATGGGTGGCTTTTTGATCATCTGACATTCGGTCAATCAACAACCCTTTAGTTGGCTGGCTGCCGATCAGTCGGCTGGGTGATCTTCAGCCGAACAGATTGATGAAGCCTTGTAGCTTTTCAAGAGTGGATCTCTGTCATGTTTCCTTTGATATGTACCATTAGATTATCTATAGATTTGTAGATTCACATACATCCCACTCAATTTCTATGTATTTACATATCTAACATCTAAAATGTAATTGTACATATATGCCACATTAACTATGCATGAAAAGATAGATTTCATTTCTTTTAAGTTAAAGTAGTTATATTTTTATATGATATGAAAGTTTTGGGTGGTAAAAATGTAAAAAAAAAAGTGAAGTTTCTATGCCATATGTAAATACTAGAAATTTGGTGTTATGTGTGTAAATGCCCAAAAAAATTTATGTGGTTTAGTATGTGTGGGATTGTAATTATGGAAAAGTTATGAGCCAATAGTGAGATCTAAATTCTGTGCATTGTCTCATGTATATGTAAATAGACAAAAAAGAGTGGTATATATGTAAATATTTTATAATTTTAATATTAAAAAAAGAGGATAATAATTGGGGTAGCCATAATGTTCACATGGTCATAACCTGGCTGCATGAGATCCAATGCTGCCACAATATCTAACATGGGCTGATTGTGCTTCAAATTAAAGAGACACGCCATGTGGATTCGCACGTGCTAAATTTAATTTGTTATGTATTGGATTTTTAATTTCTCTACATTATTAAATTTTAAGGCATAATGACGAATAATGTCATATTGAAAATCCGATGATAACTCCGTATAACAACTGCTTACAACTGTTGTATTTAGCATATGACAACTTTCTTCGAACTCTTGAAATTCTATTCTCACATCGTATATCAATAAGTGATGTTTCTGTTGCAGCCAAATATCGTTGCAGCACCAACTATAGCTTTCTTGACCAACTGATGTTATTACAGCTCCACACTACGACCTATGTGACCAACTATCATCTATATGACTTATTGCTCATGCATCTTCCAACTATGACCTTGTGGCTAACTGACGATATCACAACTCAATACGACCAACATGTTCAGCTACAGGTTTGGTGGCCAATTGAAGCTACAACATCTTCCAGCTGCTGCTTATACGACCAACATATGTTATTACAGCTAATGTCTATCACATTTATGGTAGACTATTTTCATTGTAGCAATCAAATACAGTCTTTGTGCCCCGCTGTAACTATTATCACCTAGAACTACAGCCTAATCGTGGCTATTACGTTGAACTATTGTTGTTCATCAACTTTGTAATTTCATATCATTAATTCAAGAGAATAGTGGACTTATGTAGTTGCATTCACATAATAGATTATTTTCACTAGGTGAAGCCCCATGATGTTTTCCCTTGCCAGAGTTCTCCACCTAAAATATCTTGGTGTCTAGCTCATCAAGCATCTAACTACGACCATGGTGGCTAATCGATGCTATCACAACTCTCCACTATGTACGACTTTACTGACCAGCAAAATTCTTGGAGGCCAGTTGAAGCCACTATAGTTTTGATCTATATCCTTTATGGTTAATTGCTGTTATTACAACCACTATATACAACATTTATGGAGGACCGCTGCCTTCATAGCACTTACAATTTTTAGTCTTTCTACAATTTTATTATTACAAGAATGTATACGCATTAAAAACTTTGTATAGTTTGACTTTATATTAATTTACCAATACTTTGCTCAATTTACATTATTCTTCCAATTGTCATAATAGATGACATAAAAACAAGAAAATTAGGTTTCTTATAGCTATCAGCTTTTTTTTTTTTTTTTTTTTTTTTTTTTGCATTAATGTCCACTCTTTTAGATCATAAAAAATATTCATTAAGCTTTACTATTTATAATAATTAAATATAATATGCTCCTTATTAAACTAAGAGACATTTACATACTTGCTAAAAAGTCAATATTTTTTAATGCATCTTTAAGGTGATGAATATGTAAATGTTGGTATGTTTAGGTATTAGTTAGATATGCATGTACATAAGAATTAAATGGTATGCATGTAAATATTCCTAACCTTTTGGACTGACAAGACTAGATTTGGCCGGCAAGAAAAAATCAAAATTGACCATATCTTGCTTCAAAAATCAAAACATGAGATTAAATTAATTTTATTTCGGTAAATTAATTATAAATATTCTGAATTAAATTTAATTAAAAAAATTAAAATTTATTTTTGAGGGCATTTACATACATAGCACCAAATTCTCATGTATTTACTTACCTAATATCTAAACTTTGCTTCTTCTTCTTTTTTTTTTTTTTACATTTTTACCAACAAAATATTTCATTTCATATTTAAATTATACCGTACAATTTTTAAAGCATAGGAATGATGGTATAAATGTAAAAATTACATTTTAGGCGGACTAATATGTAAATACTAGGAATTCAGTGGTAGGGATGTCAAATGGCAAAGAGCAACTCTTTAAGAAGCTCGTGTTCGGCTCGTTAATTTTGTTTGATAAGTTAACGAGCCGAACACGAACTAACATGTGTTCGTTCGTGTTCGACCCGTTTTGGCTCAAAATACTACTCATCAAATTTATATATATATATAAGTATTATTTTAAAAAAAATCTAATTGACTACAAGGCTACAAAGATTTATAATCAATTAAAATATTGATTAAGAAAATAGATAAAAATTATTAAATTAGATTCAAATGATGTTTTAATATAAATAATAATTTTTAAATCTTGCTCAAACATTTATTGT